TCTATTGACATTGCTCTACAAATTATCTACTAATGATCTATTGTCAACTGAGAGTAACCCTAACTTAACCAAATCCTCTAGAGGGCGTCCTTGTGGTGTGGACCTGGCTTCATGGGGGTCGGATGTTACATGCACTCAGCAGGTGACTGTTGGCCTCACACTGTAATACAGAGCTCGGATTTACCTTACGTATACTACAACATTTAAACATTAATCACATCTATCCCTTCGGTAGAATTGTAAACTAACAAAAACAACCACATTTGCTGAAAAGGAACTGAAACTACCTTGGATAAATCAAGGGTTAAAAAAGCCCTTACCTATTGACCTATTAGTAATAACTGAAAATGGATAACTAACTGGATGACTCGTATACCATATATATAATGTCTCCCATTGAAAAATACAGTCCACCTTTCGAGGACTACTCTTCACAAACGACAAATTCTGTCATGAATGCAAACTTATTTATTTATTTAATTATAAAAGCAATACAAGAAGTAATATGATTACCGTAATACTCAGTTTAGAAGTCTTAATGAAAAATTTACTAATTCAGATTTCATTTTCACCAGGGTTCTAAGTGGTGGTAAATTGTAAATAGTAAAAGTAGTATATTCATCTACTGACTTTCACATTGACTCCAGGAAAATCGCTTAAAATGCTCATTTTGTGGTGTTCTGAGATGCAATAATTACATCACTGTGGAGTCAGGTCAAGTCAGGTGAAATTTTATTGATATAGCCCAGTGTCACTAAACATGAATTTACCTCAAGAGCATTCACAATCTATACATCATATGACACCCTCTGTTACTGGATCCTCAAATCAGATAAAGGAAAAACTCTTCCCTCAAAAGACACCTTCACTGGAAAAAAGACTTGAAAGAAACATCAGGAAGAGAAGCTGAAGGAATCCTTCTTCCAGGTTGGACAAACATGTAATATACACTATGTTGTGTGTACATAGAGCAACATAGTCAAAAGTCAGTGGAATGAAACCTAATTGTTTACTTCCAGATAAAGGTAGGCATACAGTGAGCAGCGAAACCCTTATCTTCTTTTAATTAGAAATAATGTGTCTAATTGTAGGGAGCTTTTGGAAAGAACACTCAACCTCTAATGCACTACAGTTGTATTTTCAGTATACAGAGATGGCTTGGTTCTGTATAAGAAACTATACACCACACCATTAAATAAATATAACTGATTTAAGAATAAAACACTGTTGATACTGCAAATCATAGATGATGTGCTTCCTATTAAAATCTGTTGGCAAAATAAAGGAAAAACCAACATAAAGTTTCTTAATAAGGTGTTGAGACATCATATGCCACCAGAACAGTTTCACTAAACTTTGGCATTTACTTTCCAAGTCTCTTGACTCTATTGGAGGGATGAACACCATTCTTCCAAAATAATATTCCCTCATTTGGTGTTTTGATGATGGTGGTAGAGATGCTGTCTAACATGTTGGTCCAATATCTGCCATAGCTGTTCAACTGGGTTGAGATCTGGTGACTGTGAAGGTCATAGTATATGATTCATATCATTTTCAAACCATTCAGTGACCCCTCATGCCCTATGGCTAGGGGCATTGTCATCCTGGAGGAGACCACTCATTTATTCAAGTTTTTCCTTTAATCTGTCACTCGTCTATACACAGTTAAGGCCAAAAGTCAAAGTGCAACATGTGCAGTAAAGAGTATAGCTACACCATTTGTGATGGCAAACATTACAAGTGCCAT